GCATGAACAGATCGCGGCAGGGTGAAAAGAGCCAACCAGGCGAGCGTACAGAGTGGCTTTTTGTTGCTGTTTCAGCGAAATGAATTACGCAAAGGTCTGTCTAGCGAGGTCGGGGTTGATTTATGTTGCATTTGTTTAAAATTTGTTGCATCCCCAAGTGTAAGTGTCTAAACAAGACAAGATTTACAACCAGAAACACGGGGAGAGAAAAAAAAACAAATTTTGTACCATCACGCAGAAAGCTTGAATTAATTTTAAAAATAGTTTCAAGCAGTGGCGTATCTAGGTCTTGTGTCCTTGAGCGTTCTTTTGAAGCAACAGTTTACTGTTCATTTTGGTTTTTCTTCAATTATAAAAGAGTCGTCCTCCTGCCAGGAAGGTGGTAGAAAAGTGGCCACATGTCCCCAGGGAATACCCCCCCCTATTTAGATATACCACTGGCTTGCAGTTACAGTTGGTCGTTTGACAACTTAACAACACGTATACTATAATCCAAATCACCAAAGGGACCATGCCGGGACGTAATCCTCTCACATCATCGCAGTACATTTCTCCCACCAAAAGCTAAGTTTCAGTTGATGTCTGATGCACCTTCTCAAACTAAGAAGAATGCAACATTAAATTCAATCATTGGAAAACCTGCCTGGGAAACCATTTCCATCCGAAAAAGGTAACTGAGTTACCGTAGCCGGTTAATAAACCACGCAACTCATTCCTGCACACGTACGCGTGGTCAAATTGCAATGTAAAAACTATGCATTTAATTAAATTTGTTTTGTAGAAAAAAATTCGTGTACAATCTCACAAAGTCTTTTACTTCAAACAGGTGGGGCCAAAGGTGGAACACGCCTTTTATGAAAAGTACGGTGGGTTTAAAGAGACACGGTAGGAAAAAATATATTGTCGGCAAACGCACTTTGTTGAGGGAATAACAAAATTTTCTTGAGGGAACAACAAAGTTTCTTGAGGGAACAACCATTTTTCTTGAGGGTGCAACAAATTTTGTCGAAGGAACAAACAAATTTGTTGCGGGAACAACAAACTCAAATTTTGTTAAGTGACGACCGTTTGTTGAGCGTTTCCTGGTCTTTTTGGGTACAGTCTACTAATTCCAGAATTTCTGACCAGCTCATTAGCATTAAAAGGGCCCCCCACAGTATCTTTTGAAGAAGGAGATTGTTTGGCTCCCAAAATGGTGAGATTGTGTAAATCGTTACCGGGATCAACTCCCTGGGTCTTAAAGCTTTCATCAGAGAGCAGAATGGCTAAAAGATATGGTGGAGATGGTCCTAAGTGCCCGAGAAGGTTCAGGGTTTCCACTTGAAAAACGGCTGCGAGAAAACTTCAGAAAAATCACTTTTCGGGGGAAATGAGATTGTTTTGTGGGAATAACTGAAAATTTAATTGGTTAACCCACAGATAAATGAAAAGAAATTGAAACTAGACACTAATTTAATTTCTGTTTCAGAAACCTCAGGGATGTTGGTATGCATTTTATTGGGCCCTGAACAATGCCGATTTTACACTGTTTTCAATGGGGCTTGAATGAGTGGGACTTAACCCCTGGTCTCTATGGGTGCGTTCGCGCGGTTACTCCTGTGCATTACACCAAATACTCCCCCTATACTCTCGCTGACCCGCGGGTCGGACTCCAGCCGTTCGAACACTCAGGAGTATATAGCACGAGTAGCTTCACTCGAACGCACCCTTTGTGTTGTCTGCAGTACTGTCATTTCACTGTCTATTTTCATAGAAAAAACTCTCAGTTGTTCCCTCAACAAAAATGGTTGTTCCCTCAACATACTTTGTTGTTCCCTCAACAAAAGTTGTTGTTCCCACACAAATATGGTTGTTCTCTCAACAAAATTTGTTGTTCCCTCAACAAAAATGGATTTTCCCTCAATAAAAGTTGTTATTCCCTCAACAAAAGTTGCTGTTCTAACAACAAACATAGTTGATCCCTAAACAGACTTTGTTGTTCCCTCAATAAAATTCGTTGTTCCCGTCAATAAAATTTTGTTATTCCCTCAACAAAGTGCGTTCGCCTACAATATAGTTTTTCCTACCATTTCTCTTTAAAACCACCGTAGAAAAGTCAAAGCGCAAGGAGTAAATGATCAGCTTATGCCTGCTCTGAAATTTGGAATTCATGTGGACACGGCACTGTCATTTGAAATGGGAGTTATTGTCGTGAGCGTCGCAAATACGTTCGTTCATAAGGCATAAGAATTTGGTCATTATTGGAACAAATTATCTGTTCCAAATCAAGTGTAAAAATCAAGTGGTAAAATATTTCAAATGGTGCAATCACAAGGTTTGTTCGGCACAAGTAATATAACTCCTTTAACAAATTAAAAAAGAAATAAGGAAAGTTGTTTACATGAGTGAGGCAAACAATCAATAACATTGAAATCTGATTTCACTAATGTCAGGCATGATAAAGATGGAAAGGCGCATTTTGAGGAAAGAATACACAATACCCCCCCAGGAATCCAATCCCTCTGAACATTACACTTTATTGTGTTTCATTCGAATGAAAACGGCAATTGCCAAAACACCTAACCGGAGAGCAGAAGAATCGCGAGCAAAATATACGCCCCTTTATCCGAGCCCATCTCCTGAGAAACTTTTTATGTGGCCATATATACCTGCGTCTTATTATGCCTTCCAGAGCACCTCAGCAATACGAAATTAATTGATTTCTCAAACCATCATGAACACGCACCCGCTGTGGTCAGCGAGCATCTTTCAGTAAAAGGACAGCGGCTGTCCTGTTTCCATGGCGACGACGGAACACCACGCAGTACAATAAATCAGTATCACTCGTGTGGGTAATTCAAATGGTCTCATATGTCTCCAACGAAAAGTGGTGCTAATGAGGAACATGAATATACACACAAACAGGTGGCACGCGAGATCGTAACTGATGATGTTGGATATCACTAAAGAACCACATTAGTATATTATACACAGGGAACTATCACCTAAATGTAAAGCAGCATGGTTCCGTAAACATTAGCCAGTAATAACCAACTGTGAGTTGCCTTGCTTGTCTACGGAGATTTATCAGCAAAGATGTGTCTAATTAATGAGTGACTCGACGGCAAACATCTGCAATGGACCAGTTCACAACTAAAGTGGATTCGTTCGTGGAATCCAAAATACGACTGCCTTTAAGGGGCTTTTAAATTCATGGGTTCGTTTTTCGTATGTTTCTCCACCTTCTCCATGCTGGGTCATTCCAAAGTGCGTGACTTGAATAATATGTCTTATTACTTGCATAGAAGACGAGCAACTTGCTGACGCTGCTTGATGATGCCAAGTGCGCGCACACGTGGAGCGCGGCACCAACTTAATAGACCTTTCGTTTGTTCAAACAAGGACCACCACTTTACACGGACAAAATATTGCAGGTTACTTTAACTGAGGTTGGCC